CTCAAATTTTTATAATCTCCTTTACTTTTTAGGAGGTTGTAATTGCCATGCTCGTTGTGCTTGTTTGTCAAAATTGGGGTTTTTTGGGGAAAAAGAGGGGTGGGGAGATTTTTTTTCTTTGGTTCTTTCTTTTAGGAAAGGAGAGAGTTATCATTCCTCAAATTTACTCCCCTAAATTAAGAACTAATTTTAAGGCTTTTTTTACCTTTTCCATTACCTCTTTGCTGACTACTCCAAGGCGTTTTTTATCCACTAGACGCAACTTTTTATTAACCGTATGGAGGTAATTACAACAAATTTTACTAGGCTGGTCTAATCCAGTTTCGGGAGTGTTCTCAATAAAAACCTCAAATCTCCGAATCCTCTCCATTTCGTCAGTAGTCAGTCCCACCACTACTATATTCTTATCAAATTGATTTTGGGTGTCATTGCTTACAACTAGACATGGACGGTAAGGTTTGGAAAACTCTTTTAGTTTATCAAACTTAATCATTCAGATATCACCCTCTTTTGGAAATTCTTGTTTACTCATCATTTTTTAAAGTATCGTTTAGAGTTTCGTCTCAAATTTCGGCTTCTTTTTGAGCCTTTTTGCTCTCAGCTACGGACTGATAATCACTAATAAGTTGCTGTTTTAATTGTTCTTCATTATTTCCTAATTCTTTTTCTAATACTTGCTTAATAAAAGTGCTAATTTTCCCCCTCCCTGCTTTGTCTACTATTTTCTGGTATAAAGAATCTGGTAAATAAATACTAAATACGCGATTTGGTTCCATTCTTTCATTTCTCATAATACGCTGACTTGTTAAACAATCCTATAAAATAAATTAAGATATCTCTTGCTAAAAACCCAAAACCAATATATTAATTTTTTAGTAAGAAGTATTTTAACTGATGGCAAAAAAAGTTGAAGCCGGTGTAAAAGCCGGGGAGTATGATACCGAAAGAATAACCCCTAGACTTCTCAGGAAGTAGAGGAATAAAATGAGTAGGGCATAGCACAGACAATCCTGGGCTAGATTTCCATTAGACCTGGTTTTGTTCTCTTTTTTCTTTTTCTTTTTTCTCTCATTTTCTCCTGCCTAACCAGCAGAGGAAGTCCGAGACAAGGAAACCAGACCCAAAGACGAACAAGGAGTGGGAGAAATCCCCTCCCTAACCAGGGCAATGGTTATCTACTCCTCCCCTCCGATTGATTATCTAATACCTTATATATAGACCCCGGAGGGGGCTTTTTTTATAATTCGCCCATTGCGTAATATGAAAAGGGGTTATTGAGAGATTAATTAATACGCAATAGGCGTCATTTGAATAAAACTAACTCCTAAACACTTACCAAACTTGCTAACCATATTTTTAAAATATCCAGTAGTCCAGCAGGCTTTACTCAGTAATCAGTTATAAAATAAATTAAAAAACTGTATGGAGACTAGAAACTATGACAAACCAATCCTTTATCAAATATCAAATCTTCCGGTGCCGTTAAGGCACAAAGAATTGGAGAGAATAAGCGAAAGCAAAAATAAAATCAACGACAATATAAAGTAAGTTCACTGCTTACTAAATTGCCTAAATCAAAAAAACAGAGGCTAAACTGTCTTAAATTAGCAAAAAATATAAGAAAATACAGAATAATTTATAAAAATATGGGAAATAATCAATCAAACGAAAGACAAAGAAATTGAAAAATATATAAAATCACTGAGCGAAGTGTTGGTGTTGATTACATTAGATGTTATTTAGATGATTATGTGCCTTTCAGTAATGGGAATTATAAGCACATAGATTTTGAGAAGATTCCTAGTTTACTTTACGTAGGTGCTTTATTAGCTGGTGCAAGCAGTGGACCGAGCCTTAGTGAAGGCAGTCATATAGCAATTGATATCAATATGACTCGTAATTACATTGCTAGTCGAAATTTTGATTCTCGCCACGATGTGAGACAAGCATACATTAGTAATAATTTACCAGGAGAAGGAGGTTTTCAAGAACTTGTTGGAGGCATAACTGAGGCAAGAGAAAGACATGCTAGGGCGAATGAATGAGCCAATTTTGACAAACAAGCACAACGAGCATGGCAATTACAACCTCCTAAAAAGTAAAGGAGATTATAAAAATTTGAG